TCTGCTTGGGGGAGGGAGACCTGGGGCTATTAAGAAAAATGGGCATGCTTTTCTGCGTTTTTAAGATCCTTTGAGGAATTATATTTTTCTGCCCTTTTAATATTTCCTTCTCGGGGGGGGCTGACTTTGCATACCCCCAAAAGCACATGACAACGGGATGTGTTTTTCTACTTTTGGAGACTACAAAGCCAAGCTGGAGCATTCTGCAAAGTTTCCATGCCTCCTTTGATCCAGAGCTGGCTCAAATAGAAATTTTTGTCCGCGAGACAAAGACAAATCGGGAAAAAAAATATGTACAAGTATGTAAGGGCTGCCTAAATTTTCTCAGGTGAGACTGATATTTCAGACTTGCCTATCTGGGAAGAAAAGGCCAAAGAACATAAATTTCTATTGCCAGGATAATTTATTTTCTTGCTGTTGTTGTTAATTGCGAAGTCGTGTCCGACCCATCGCGACCCCATGGACAATGTTCCTCCAGACCTTCCTGTCCTCTACCATCTTCTGGAGTCCATTTAAGCTCAGGCCTACTGCTTCAGTGACTCCATCCAGCCACCTCATTCTCTGTCGTCCCCTTCTTCTATTGCCCTCAATCTTTCCCAGCTTCAGGCCCTTCTCCAGTGAGTCCTTCCTTCTCATTAGGTGGCCAAAGTATTTGAGTTTCAACTTCAGGATCTGGCCTTCTAAAGAGCAGTTGGGGTTGATCTCTTCTAGGACTGACCGGTTTGAACGCCTTGCAGTCCAAGGGACTCGCAGGAGTCTTCTCCAGCACCGTAGTTCAAAGGCCTCCATTCTTTGTCGCTCAGCCTTTCTTATGGTCCAACTTTCACATCCATATCATTGGATTGAACCATTTGACCAACTGAAGCTTCAAAGAATCTTTTGTTTTAAATGAAGAGGTGTGAATGAATTTATCTTCTGCTTCTTGGCGACTCTAGTACTATGTCTACCGACTCTTGCAGAAAACTGTTTCTCCGCTTTCGAATTCTTGACCTAAAGGAGTCACTGCTTTACAACCTTTTGCAGATGATATGCAAAGGGCAACTGGCAAATCCAGTTTTCTCGTGCAAAACTCTTTTGACTTGAGATCAACGGATTTATCTCAGGTCTTGATCTTGACCAAGAATACCATTTTTTCCCCCAAGGGTGGCGGTCGCCAAAAACTGGTTTTACAAGACCAGACGCAGATTGGAGTTTTGTGTCCAGGGAATATCCCTTTGGGGGAAAATAATCTGGGGCAGTAATTACTACAGCTGGTAGTTTCTCTGAATTGCTCTGCTCGCTAAATGTGATATACCTGCCTTAAGGTATGGGAAAGATCAAGCAGAAAATAGAAAAGAATGGAATTTCCATTTCAGTGGCTTGCAAAGAAAAAAAAAAGGAATTTGCAGAGAGCCGATTTGTGTCAAATAAGGAATTCAAATAAGGAATTCAATTTTAATGTTATTTGCATGGTTTCTTCCTCACCCTTTTTTCTTTCTTTCCCCACCCATCCAATTCTTTGCCTGTCTTGTAATCAGTCAGTCATCCTTTTCCAAGCAGTCTAATTTTCCAAAGCTGAAAGATCCAACTTGGCTCTCCCTAGATTTAACTCTTAATATTCAGAAAACCTCCTTAAAAAAGATGGGATAAATCCAAATTAAGAAACCTGTGTTATAACACTAATAGCCTGGATTTCCTTTAAGCTGCTCAAGGCAAGTGTACTTTTTCTCTACAGCAAGTTTATTGGAGGCAGAGATAAAGGACAACTCAAGCTGATTTAATGGGATCGTGCTGAAGAATTTAAAACTGGATTACTGGGCTTAAATTGATCTTATTCTGCTGTCAACTCTTCTGCTTGTCACTACCCTTTGATCTTCCACCTCACCCGTGTGTAACCCAAAGGAGCACCTGCTTTGCCACGATCCCCCTTACTCAGCTGTTAGTCACAAAGGGAATTGATGGAATGCACAGGGTTAATATTAGTGACATCCTCTGTGTCGTTACATAATCCTAACTTGTCTCCAGTTCTCCGACAGCCGGAAATCCACCATTACAGAACATTGTGGCCTCCAGTAATTGAATAATTGACAATCACATGGTATCTTATTAAACTTGAAAGACGGAAACAAGTACTTACAAAAGGATCTGTTCTCAGCAATGAAATGCAGTTATCTCCAGGGTGAGATCAGGCTGACTTACAAGTGTGTGTGTGCGCGCGTGTGTGTATATGGGATAGCATAGGATGTTGCCTCAGGCCAGTGGTTCTCAACCTGTGGGTCGGGACCCCATTTGGGGTCGATCGACCATTTCACGGGGGTCGCCAAGCAAGGCTGTCCGCCATTTTTTTCCCCTTTTCCGGCGGGTGCCTTACCTCCCTTGGGCTGGGCCAGCTGGTGGTCGGGCTGCTCCGTCTCTGCCGCTTGCCAGCTACGCCTCGACCGGCGCAGGGGGCGGAACCACGCATGCGCGGCGCTCCCGGGCAGGGAAAGTCCTCGACTTACGACCGGTTGGGTAGTCCCCGACTTACGACCGGTTTAGTCCTCGACTTACGACCGGTTTAGTCCTCGACTTACGACTGGTTGGGGTCGCGGCATTAAAAAGGTTGAGAACCACTGCCTCAGGCAAAAATGCTGTGCCATCTACACCAAATTTTACAATGTCCTTTTTTCCCCCTATCCCATTTGTATGGCCCAGTTTGATCTCCCAGACTTCTTCTGAGCTGTTATTGCCTACCAAATTTATGCAGTTAAGGAAGGGCTGAAAGAAATGTCTGATCATTTGTAAATGAGCCAGTTTGAAGTCCTGGGTAAACTATGCCCACTAGTTTACCTGATGCACACCCAAATGCTTGGCATCGAGGATGATTTAGCTTTACTTTCTCTGGTATTCTTTTCTAAATAACAGAGAAATAGAACAGTCCTGGACCAACAGGATCGAATTGGATCTTGATCTTGTGCAAGAATGTTTAAGGATCGATCCTTGAGAAGGGTTTTAATATTGGGTTAATTGACTCAACAGGGATGCAAGACTGAACAGGATTACCAAAGGGGGTCAGAATCAGGATGAAACCAAAATTCTCAAGATGATTACAAGCGAGTATTCTCTTAAGCCAACTTCTGCGTACAGAAATATAGCGTATGGCTCATCATTATTAATCGTTTTAATGTTTACCACGTTTTAATGTTTGTAAGCTGCCCAGAGTCACCTCTAGACGACATGGGCAGCATACAAATCTAATAAACAGATGGAGGTAATGAAAAACTTAACACTACAAAGGCAAGAACTGCTAAGTGGAAGGTCTAGAACAGTGGTGGCGAACCTATGGCACGTGTGCCAGAGGCGGCACTCAGAGCCCTCTCTGTTGGCACACACGCCACCGCCACCAGCAGCAGGTCCATCAGGCCACCACCGCCGCCTGGAGCAGGAGCCCCGCCCAGCACAAAGACGAAGCGGCCAACTAGCAAGCTTGAGTAGAGGTGGTAGAGCAGAGGTCACCAACCATTGTCGATTGGTGGACTGGAAGAAAAGGGAGGGGGAAGCATTTTACATGCGTGCATGTGCGCACAGGGCCGCAAGTATGCACGTGCTGCAAATGGGTGGGCTAGTGTCTGCGTGATACTAGCCCTGCCCCGTTCTTGCGTGGTGCAGCACCTTGTATCTGCACCCGTTTTTGTGCCTTGCAGCACGGTGGCCCATTTTTGCACTCCCAGTTTTTGCGTGCCATAGGCATCACTGAGGCACCTCCCTGCCCCCCCCCCCCCTGGGCACCACAATGCTGGCACTTTGCGATAAGTGGGTTTTGGGTTGCAGTTCGGACACTGCCTCTAAATTAAAAGGTTCGCCGCCACTGGTCTAGAATATTCAATTGCAACACCTATAATTATACCAGCAACTAAGGCCATAATCTTTCTTCTGTAAGAACAGTTGGACAATGGGCACCGCTGATTTATGCTGTACTGTAATCCTGTTGAGGTTAATATCCCAGCCAGCTTGACTTTGCTGAGATTTAGGAATTGAAATTGATACATTTGGAAGTTGGGAATGTAGATGACCAAGCTGAGCCAGCCCACTTTAAATACCTCTCTTATCTCCCTTTTCCATTAGTATTTCTTATAGAGCTTAAGCTTACAATAAATCTTTATACACATTTGAACTGCACGGATCTCTTGATTTCCTTGGTGCTTGACAGGGAAACTATCCACAATGCTTATCCTGTTTTCTCCGATAACTTGTGTCAAAAAAAAGGAAAGAAATCTGCATTGTTTTTCCCTCTTCCTTTTTAGAACCTGCTATCCCTCTTCCAGACTTACTGTAAAATGCGTCCCATCCTTCTGTAGGCGTTTTACCTCATTCCTTAGCTGCATCCATTTTACACAATCAGCGTAAAGATGGGAGATTATTTGTACATCCACATTCCCACCTTTCTCTATTTGCATAGACAAATTTTGTCTGCACAGGTTACAATCTCAATTATTTGCACTTCAACACATTAAAAAAGGCCAGTGAAGGCCAGCTTTTGCATTCAGTGAAGGCAGACCTCTTTTAGCAACCGTCTGCAGTTACAACACTGATGAAAAAAGTTAACTTTGTGACCAGTTCTCACTTAGAACTTTTGCAGGTCTGTAAAGCAAAGAACAGCTGAAGTAACATCGTAAGCAAACTGCAGTGTCACAAGCTGCTTGTCCCAATTGTGGCTGCTAAACAAGGACTGCCTGTACTTCATGGGAATTTCAGTGATGTAAGTAAGTAGAACAGCAACATCAGACTCTTAATGAGACTGGTTCCTTGTATTCTTACATGTGAGATTTTGAAAACAAATGAGCTTAATAGCTGCCAACATTTCTACACTGGTTTTTACTCAGAACATTTATAAAAACCATTTACAGGAAAAATGTACAGTATGCTGAAATTAACAAAATTAGCCCTGGGAGTCTCTCCGGTTCAGACTTGAAGGACAAATTGAATTTAAAGCAATCTCTTTGGCGTAGCATTTCCTGCGTGACATAAAACCAATACAATTATTTTGAGAATTGACTGAAAACATCTTTATTATTCAGCTCTATGTCCGCCCCCGCCTTGCAATTACAACCACACAACTAAAATATATTTTTTGTAATCTGGGATTAGTCCAAGTACAGTCAAAAAAAAAATAATAGGACAGGCATACAAAGTCTGTACACAAACTCAACATGGGGTACACAATTTGCAATGAAGTTAGACATACAAAATAAAAAAAGTTTATAAATTCACATGGTCTGGGATCTTATGTTGGCTCAATAAGGTCTCTCCCGGCGGTCTTGTCTGTGGTCCCCTCTGCAGAGTGAGAAGAAGAAAAATTCAATTTAAAATTACAGATTGTGACTACCAGCTATAGTTAGCAGTGCTCCAGAGGCAAGCTATTATGGGTGAAACTGGTAGGTGTTTAGGAGTGAAAAGCCTGACACAGATCTTAATAGCCTCTGGGAGACTTTTTATTCAGGTACAGAAATATGGTATTAGCTACCCATCCCACTCCTAGAAATAAATTTTACCTAGAGTCCATTTTTCCTGGTCCAAAGCTGCCTCTGTCTCCGCCTCTTCCACCGCGGAATCCACCTCGGCCTCCCCGGAAACCACCTCTGTCGAAGCCTCCCCGTCCCCCACGTCGTTCTTCACCAAATCCGCCCCCTGGGAAAAGAGAAGAGATTGCTCATCTCAAAAGCACAACTATTGTTTTCCTATCTTCAGACCTTTCCATGACAAAGCATGTTATGTGTTTCACAAAACGAAAACCAAAAACTATCTCGGCTGAAGACCGTGGTACATTTGTGTCCTTCCCCACCCAAAGCAAACGAGAAATCTCACTCCTTGTAGATAGATGATGCTTCTCTGGTGGTAAGAATTGTAGTAGTTAAGTGCAGCCGATGCACTCTCTAATACTCACCCATATGTGGTCCCCCAGGCCCATCTTGTTTGGGTGCTTTGCACTGATTGCATTCATTGCGCCACGAAAAATTCATGTTCTCGCACGTCCTACAGTAGACATCGTGGGAAGAAAGCCATGACAAATCCAATAAATTCACCACTCGCTACCATCTTCCCTGCCACGCAAATTGCTACAGATTTTAACTTACGGATTGGGACACTTCCAGTCTCCAGCACGCTGCTGGCCGCCTCCGCCACTAGGGAAACCACCCCGGCTGCCTCCACTGGAGCCACTGTTGCCGCCGCCGCCACCACCACTGCCGCCGCCGCCACCAAATCCACCGCGGCCCATTGGTCCTGAAGAAAAATTCAAGGCAGCAACTAAGAACGTTTTCTTGCCAGGATTTACTGCCTCATCCACCGTTAACAGTCCGTTTCTCAACCTCAGCCATTTCACACATCTTCCAATTGCTGAGGTCAAGAAGTACGGCATTATAAGGTATTTCCATCCATTTTATCTCCACCTCCTACCACAGAACTTGGCCCCTTCTTTCACCTTCACTGCGGTGCTGAAGGACCAATTCTTGCTCTTCTCTTAAAATAGGACAATAATATGTAGCACGGCAGGAAGATGGATAAGCAGATGCTCCATTACTTTTCAGTTCCGTTCCATTACTCACCTCCTCTACTGCCACGGCCTCTTCCACCACGGCCATTCCCCCCTCCTCGGGTGAAGTCTGCTCTCCGGGTGGCAAATGAAACTTTAATTGGGTTGCCAGAGAACTCTTTCCCTATAGAATTGGGGGGGGAAACGCTTTTGTCCAGTAATGTGTTCATCATTAACACTACTTTTTATTTCACTTAAATTCCAGTGGCACTGAGACAGTTCCTATCCCCGTGGTGGTGAACCTGTGGCACGCAGAGGGCACTCTCTGTGGGCACGCACGCCGTTGCCGCCCCAGTCCTAGGCCTTCAGCTGGGTTTTATAAAACCTTTTCGCTTTAGGCCTCTGCTGTGCGCAAAAAAAAAAAAAAAAAGGTTCAGTCAGTCAATCAATTTCAACTTCTTGCAGGAAAAAAAAAAGATCTCGCAAAGTTGGAATTGATTGATTGAACTTTTTAATCCCACCCAATCTGCCGTTACCAACGCAGCCAAGCCCACCCAATTGGCCACACCCACCCAATTGGCCATGCCCACCCGGCACCCGACGACACATAAGTGGGTTTTGTGTTGCAGTTTGGGCACTCGGGTCTCTAAAAGGTTCGCCATCACTATCCTATCACCTTGAACACAGCCAGACCAATTCCCAGCAATACAAATACAATTCCAAATCAGCGACCTACCATCAAACCAATCAATAGCAGCTTTTGCAGACGGGGGATCATCAAAAGAAACCGTGGCTTCTCCTTTCAGTTTTCCTGTCTCCCGGTCTGTATACAGGTTAATCATAGGCTGCCCGGTTTTCTTGTTCATCTAAAAAGACAGGAGGAGGAGAGATGACATCCTGATCAAATGACGTTTTCATGTTACCATACCTGCTCATACAACTATTTAGGGACAATATTTGTTTGCGGCTCATTTCTGGAGACTGTCCCCCATCTCAAATATAGGATTCCGGGCAGCTTAAATTAAAGTAATAAAAACATAAAACCCATAGCACAATGTTTCTCAACCTTGACAATTTTAAGGCATATGGACTTCAACTCCCAGAATTCCACATGCCTTAAAATTGTCAAGGTTGAGAAACACTGCCATAGCAGCTGACACTTACTGTATAATCAACAAAGAGCAATCAATCAAATAAGCAAGCAAGCAAACAAACAGAAGCGTTCCCATCTAGCACTGGTTTTTGTTCTGTAAATTTTGTCTTGTGAAGTATGAAAATGTTAACTAGCCTTTAGATGAAAGATACATTACAAATAAAAACATGTGAAATCATCTTGGAATCTACTACTTTCTTGCTTCAAGAGCAACCCAAATTTTGTCTTTATATGTGATTCACAAACTAGATGGTGGTCCTCTGGATTCCCACTAGCGTATTGCTAAATGGATCCACGATAGTGCAAAGTATTTGTTTACCTTGATGAGGCCGATCTGCTTAAAGTATTCTGAAACCGACTCAATGGTTACGTTTTCACCAAGTCCTTGGACAAAGATGGTGTTATTGTCAGAATTATCCTGCTCACTAGCTGCAAGAAAAGAATGAAGACTTTTAAACAAAACAAATCCCAAACAACACTTTAGCATCGACCCATTCTGGGCTGTACAAATTTTCAATTCCATTTCAATCTTCCCATTTTATCAAAGGGAACAGACGTTTTCTTTGGTTAAAATGCCAACAAAAATCTTCAATCCTGCATTATTATGTTAAAAGTTTATTTCTTCTACAGTTGTTTGTTTTTAACACAACTGAAATCAGCTAGTTTAATAGTTTGTATTCACAAGCATCCCAGAGGTCACAAGGCCAATTTGAAGATGCCCATCAAAGTCTCAAGTTATCCTTGAGCACTGCTTCACTGGTCTTGAGGAACACAAGTCCTTAAGACAGAATACTTGTGATCGGTTCAAAGCTTTGTTTCGATTATTAAGTGGCATGGGTATACCAGTCAAACAACCACTTACCAGAATCATGACGTGAGCCTTGGTCCCGTGGTCCTTTTGTCACATGAAAACAAGGAAGGAAAGATTCAGTTAGACAGAGAGTGGGCTCCCCCCTTTTTTTCACCTCACCATCACGATTCACATTAGAAACAGGCCAGTGTTGAACATATGCAGCCTCACGATTAGAATATAGGAAAACATACCCGCCCCGTCAGAAGCGCTCCATGTCTTAATGATGAGATTATTACATAACCAGTTTAAGCATTCTTTCCGCCAGGACATATAGAACCTAATTTTTGCAGCTTGGGAGGAACATGGCCTCCAGAGAGACACTCAAAACGGTACGGGACAAAACCACCCGGAGGAATCTACTTTTTCCACTTTCACAGCACACATTAGTCACTGCTACCCAGAGTCTTTTTATTGACCCTTGATCAGTTTATTTTTTTTAAAATCTCCAGCACCATGAGGCCTGTGGCAGAATTCTGCAACCTATTCCGTTTCGTTTTCTTGAACACGAGAGCTATGTGTTTTAAGTAGACACACCACATTATACCACATAACACATTTTGAGTTAAGTCCTTTTACAAGATTAGATCTTTAGTTTTGATAAACCATCAGGTTCTTTACTCGCATCCACCATTCTATTAACATATTATACACAAGAGTTCTTTTAAAAAAAACATTTTGACACCTTTCAGCACATCCAATCATAATTACTTTTGAAAGCGTATGCCCAACACTGGTCTCAAATGCATTAAACAATCCTATGTAGACCGTTTTAAAATTTTTGTGCCAAGCCTTTTTCAGCAAACACTATGGGAACGTTCCTTAAAACCAATTAGTTTACTTTGGTACATTCACGTTTAAAAAAAAAAAAAAGACCACCTTTTATGAAACTTCATGATGTTAAAACCAAACTTTCTTTAAAATAGAAGCCCATGAAAACATTTATTTGTCAAAAGAGCTCTTAAGAGTTTCATACAGACAAAATTATACATTCCGGTTTGAAAGGAGCGGCCCCTCGCATTTCCTTCTTGTACCAGTAGTTTTTTTTAAACAAGGTAACATAAACCTTCATTTTTTTTTCCATGTTTCTTCAGGACCGCATGCACTTCCATTAACACTTTTTAAGCCAACATTTGCATGTGTGTTTCTAACAAGGGACAACACACAAGCCCAACATTTATGAAGTGAATTTTTCCACGTGTTCTCCCACAAAACACAAGTCTAGGTTTCATATTTTTTCTCCAGTCTTGTTGCATAACATACAACTAAAATTGGCCCGAAGAACTTGGCTGAGTAGAAAACCCAGAACGTGGAAATCGGCACCACAGATACAACCAACCATTTTGGCATATGTGCCACAACAGGGAGTGCTCCCATAGGTTTTTTAATCTGATAAAACGGTGGCTTTTCATTTCTTTGGCATA